AAGCAGAAGATGTTAGTGTGGCACCAGTGTGTCTGCCCTTTGATTGCTAAGCATATGGACGAACTGAGCATTGCACATTCTAATAGGCTGGTACGCATGCATCAGTTGAATTCGCCAGACAATAAGGAATGTTTGTACTAGTATAAGTGAGCAAATGTTTCCATTTTTAAGTGGATACCCAGTGGGATGAAAATACAAGTTTTGACCACCCTCTGCACTGAGTTAAGCAAAGAAATCACCAAAGGAAGTAATCTCTAAAATTGCCTTTCAGATGACCTGGTATCTGATTGTGTTTCTTTTATTATATGGAACACCAGAAAAGGCTGTCTGAGGCAGTCAGTCAGTGTTATACAAACCAAGGCTGGACTTGAGAAAAACCTGGAATTTTCAAAGTAAGAGATTTGTATTTGGGGTGTGTGTGTGTGTGTGTGTGTGTGTGCAGGAGGAAAGAAATGATCCACTGGTAATAATCTCAGGAAATCTAGGCAATGATCAGCAATCAGAGAAGAGGTAAAAGCCACAGAGCTGTTTCAGCTGACAGGTAGCTCGATGTCAGTCTCCAGAAGACAAAGGCAGGAATGATAAGGAAGAGAAAGGCCTGATTTCGGGCTCCTCAGGTCTGGAGTCTCCAAGCTTCTTGGTATGCCCAGTGGGGTTAGAAACAGGAGGCAGAAGAGCAACTGACCCACTTCCCTGTCCTGATTCTGCCTTCCAATTTGGTCAGAAGCCTGTTTTGAACAGATATCTGCCAGATTCTTCTGCCTGTCCTTTTTCCACATCTATTTTCTCTTTAACTTTTGGGGAAAATATATTTTCCTTATAAATAAGAAATTATACAAGTTTCATTCTTTAACACTTGAAAAAACATTAAAAAAGCAAATATAAATACTGATAATTTTACCACCCAAAAAATTACCACTATGAACATTCTTGGCATTTTCTTCCTACGTATGTTATGCATATGTATAAATTATTAACAATATGTGTTTCCTGACAATATTTCCTATAAACCTATGATCCCCTCCCTCATTTGAGCATCTAGATTATGACCCACAAAAGAAGCCAAAAGTGTTTACACAAGTTTGGGAAATCTGAGAAATGGAGATACAGTTTTTCTGTTTACTCAGATCCATGAAACTTACTTACAGTTCAATGACCCATGCACTAACCCCTCTTAGGGTTCATATGAGCTATTGTCAAGTCCCTTTTAACTTTTATCCTCACCCTCACCTCCAAAACCAGAGAACTCTTCTAGTTTGAAAAGTAAGGTGGCAACCTTGATGTGTATATGAACGTATATTTTTAATTGCTTCCTTGAAATACGTTCCTACAGGTGGAAAGGTTGAATAGGTATCTCTTTAAGGGTCTAGATGAATTTTATTAAATTGCAGATGCCCAACCCTCTGGTAAAAAGCAACTTGTATTTTTAAAACTCTACCAGAGTTTATGCTACTAGATTTTGCCAGGCAAGCTGGGTAGAATTCATTTAACACTAGGCACACATGCCCCTGAAAATTTCAGAAATTGAGTGCTGCTAGCAGAGATGCTGCATTAAGCACTTTGTACTGGGGGGAAGCTTTAGTACGATCCCCTGACCATTAGTGTTACAGAAAACTGGAGAAGAACCAAGCAATACTTAGAGAGATGGAGTTACATTTATTACGTGTGCAGGTCCAGAGAAAAATGTCTCAAATTCTGGGCTCCAATATGGAGGAATTTTCCCTATTTATATGTTTTTGCCTTCTTAGTCTCCCAAATATGGGGTGTTTCGGCCCCCTTTGCAAGATCTTAAAGAGCCCCTATGTGCTGGGGCCTTGAGACCTCAACCAAAGCTTGGCCTGGTGCCAGCACTGATAATTTTGTCCAGGGAAGGTTTAACGACCTCTCTGAAGTGGGAATAGTCTTATTTTCCTTGTTATTTAAACAAGCAAGAATTTACAGAAGCCAAATAGCAGGATTAAAATCTCAAACAGCAGTTTTTATATAAGATGGATGCTTTATTAGCACCAAATCATTTGACAGTCCTCTCATATTTACCTTTACTCAAATGAATGCACAGATTTGTCCATGCCCTTTGCCTCCAAATAACTCCCTTTGCTTTATTTCTGTAGTACCTGGATCACCTCCAAGGATCTGTGGCCAGCCTAAAAAATATCTCTCTTCCTGGTCACATGCTAATCGTGGCACAGGTTTCCCCCACTATCCAAAAGTAGAGCATTTTTATGAAACATTTTGAAAGCTGAAGTGGCATAAAGCAAAAAAGCAATTACTGTTAACTTATATGGAAAAATCGTTAAGAGTTCCCCTACCCCAAAAATTGCCTACCAAATCATACCAAATCCACTTCATGACACCCAGTTTTATGCTAAGCATAAAACCCTTATAAGCTCTCTTAGGTTTCTCTGGCACCTTAGGACACATCTTCCTAGCAGATGTACAAAATAAGTTATGGTTAAGCACAGATGGTCACAGACACAGTTCAGAGTGATGGCAGCTTGATGCTGAGATGTGCAAGTGTAGTTTCTGGGGGAAATTGCTCCGGGTATGTGCTGCCTCTATACAGCTTGCTAGGGAGCAAACACAGAATGCTATGTTTTGCTTTTCCCTTTTTACTCATAAAAGTGAAAATCCTTTTCAGATTTCTTTCCATTAGAGAACACAGGTACAAGTCTTTCATAAAAACAAAGTGATGTAATGGGAACTTTCAGAAAGCAGGGGATACCGGTGGTTTAGCCAACTGGGTAAACCATTTGACCTGCTCTTCCAGTCCAGCTACCACAAATGTTGCCAACGATAACAATAGTTCCCATCATGGAGTGACATTAAAGAATGGAGCTCATGAGGAGAGTAACCTGATATTGGTGGATGGGATGACATGGAGACACAAGTTTGGTGGTGGAGCGCAGTTCACATTTAGCCCTTAGCTGTCTTTGTGAACATCATAAGACTTCACCTGACCTTGAATCATCACCCAACTCACAGGGCGATAGTGCTGGGTGAGCCAGGTCAAGAACTCAATAGGGTTTTCCTAAAGTAGAACTCCTGTAATGTATCATTTCCACTGTCTTTCCTCTGCAGATTAAAGAGTATAATTCTTTTTTTAAATTGTTTAAAGTATTACATACAGTAGTACATACATCTCCTTTTTGCCCCCATTGACCTTCCCCCAGCAAGAGTATAATTCTTCATAATAAATAGTTTGCCTACTCCAGATCCCATACACCTGGCAAGAAAAAGCAAATGCATCCTTTTCTATTACTTCTGATTTTAGGATGTAATCCAGGAAAAAGAAGGGATTTTTACCTTTACTTTCCTCATCCAAGAGAATTTTATTTAGTCTTTTGGCTCCTGGAACAATTTTTTTTTTTTTTTTGCTTTATCAAGCTAGGCAAATATGTAACCAAGGGTTCAGAATACATATATATATATATATATATATATATATATATATATATATATATATATATATATTAGTAGTATCAAGTCCCACCTCCAAGTGGAGATGCAATTTGGGACTTCCCCGGTTTTCCCCAGCTTGAACAGTAGGAATCACAAAGATACATTCAGCATAGTCGCAACCCTGTCTTTCAGGGTGTGGGGTCCAGGCTGGAGGAAGCAGTGTGTCCCATGCTTCTAGAGGTCTCTAGTTAGATTCCTAGTCAGTGTAACATCCTACCTGATCCTCTTGGGGGTGTGCAGGAGACAGGTGATGGATGGTGATGGTTCTCTCTCTTCAATGTTTCTCTCTCTTCTGCTCTCCCTAAGATCAATTTAAAAACATTTTTTTTTAAAAGAACATAAATAGCTGCAATATAATGTTGTCAGTGATAAAGACCATATGTGGAAGGGCCAGGGAGAAACAATCGGGGAAGATCTCATGGTTCGTGCTGGGCATTTGAGGCCAGAAAAGAATGTTTTGGGCAAAGATTTGGATTAAGGACATTTCATACAGGGGAACAGAGCCAGCAAATTCCTGATGGGAGAAGGAAAAGGGGAGTCAAACTGATAAAGCGATTCATTCTTTTTATGTTGTTTTTAATCAACAGAGTGAAGCCTAATGGAGAGAAACAAATTAATGGCCTTTTATTGCCACAAGGAAGTTCATGTGTTTTGGCAGCTTCTGGAGAGCCTCAGCAAAAAGTACTTCCAGTCCCTGACGCACACAGTTCTCCTGCTGGAAGAACTCTTTAGGTTGCTCATACCCATCGCTGTCCAATGGCAGAGCAGCCCATACTTTTGCACGCAGCTCACTGGCTACTGTAAAAGCCCGCTCTGAGCAAGAGCCAATGAGCGCCCAGAGCCCAGATTCTTGGAAATAGTTTCTGGCCAGGAATGCGTGACATTGAGACAGCCTTGCACTTGTAAACAAGGACGAGTCTGGGCCGGCCTCCAGCCCACGCGATCCGGGACACTGTCCCAAGCGGCTGATCCCGAGCCTACTTACCTCCAGATGCCCACGTAGCCTCCCCCCTGCCCTCACAGCCTGGGCACCTGTGCCAGGCCACTCCGCGGGGGGGAGGGGGGCGGACTTTGCAGGGGGCGGGGCGGTAAGGAGGAGGGGGAGGGCAGGGCCCGGACCCAAAGTTCTTTTTCTAAGCGGATTGGCCCGGTCCCAGGCCCGGGACTTGCGTCTCCAAGTCCCGGTGACTCCTCCCCTTTGGGATTGGGGGAGCGTCCCGGGAAACAAATAAAACCGCCCAGAGAAGCTGGGGGTGGCCAGACGAGCTCTACAGTCTCAAGCCACTGCTTCTCTGATCCACTCCTCTGCTCCGGAACACCCCAATCCGATCGGATCCGATCCTCAGCCCACACCTGGTGCGCACCAGCCGGCGGCTCCCCTGCGCTCCTCGCCCGACGCGCCTGGCAGCTCCGAGGTCCCGGCTCTGCCCCTCGCAGCCTTCGCCCTCCAGCCAGTGCAGCCACTCCAGACCCGGCCAGACCAGCCCCCCCAGACCCGGCCAGCCCAGCCCCCCAGACCCGGCCAGACCCCTGCCATCAGGATGAAGGCGGTCCGCTTCGTGGTGCGCGGCGCCGGCACACTGAGCCGCGCGAGCCTGGTCCCCCGCGAGGTCGAGCATTTCTCCCGGTACAGCCCGTCCCCGCTGTCCATGAAGCAGCTGCTGGACTTCGGTGAGCGGGGACGCGGGGCTGAGGATGGGTGGGCGGGGGCTGGGGGGCTGCCTGAACTTTAAGTCCGGGTGCTGGGAGGACTGGTCTCACTACTTAAAAACAACTTGGGGCTCCTTTTCCTGCTGCCCCTGAGCCCCTCTTGCCTGTGCACCTTGCCTTTCCTACACCTGCCTTCCTTCTGACAGGTTGTACCTGCCTACAGGTAGAGGCCACTTGCAGCTTCAGGGGATGCCTAATGTTTTGAGCGCATCTTTCGTCTTCTATCCATCCAAAGCTTCTGTCGAAATACTTTTTGCTTTCAGTCAACATTTAACAATAAAGGAGGAACTTTCATAGTACTTCTTGGAGAAGGTTCCTAATAGTATAAAATAGCCTCAAATTAATTGAGATTTTTTTTAATCCCTTAGTCACCCTCCACAGGGTACACATCTCTGCGTTCCGAACAAACTTTTTATCAAATTAAAGTTTGTCATGTATTTACATTACTGCTGAAAATATTGACCGACTTTCTGCGATAACCCTACAAGGAAAATGCCAAGGATTTAAATGTGGTGTTGTTTATTATTAGTCTGGAAACATCAGGACGTCCCACCCCCTTATCTCCCGCTCCAATTTCATATCTAGAACTCTGAACATTGTGATATTGACTGAACCCTGATATCTTTTATGACTATTAAGAGCTGTAGGGTAGTTGGACTTCCTGGAAGTGAATCTAAAGCTAAACAACAATTCTCATATTGATAACTTTAAAACTAGAAAAAGGCCAGAAGGCACTTTTGAATTATTTATAAACAGTAAACAAAATGAAAGTGAAGTGTAATTTTATAATATATGTATGTATTTAATATTGTATAGATAATGCTATTCAAATATACCATTTAGTCATACTCGTTTCCAAATACTAAATAAATGTTATTTATTATAGGTTCGGAAAATGCATGTGAAAGAACTTCTTTTGCATTTTTGAGACAAGAATTACCTGTGAGGCTTGCCAATATCCTGAAGGAAATTGATATCCTCCCCGATCGATTAGTGAATACCTCTTCAGTGCAGTTAGTTAAAAGCTGGTAAGTAGTGAACCATTCTGAAACAGTCTCTCGTTTTAAAATACTGTATTTTCCGGCGTATAAGACAACCCCTTAATTTTACAGTTAAAACATAGGTTTAGGCCTATATTCGCTGTATAAGACTACCCCCCACTTCTGAGGCAACACCAGTTCTTTTTTTAATAGACCAACTCTCTGACTCTGGCCAATCTGAGCAGGCTTTTTACTAGAACACAGTGTAGCTTTGGATATAGAACAATCCATCAATTGTAACAAATGTACTACACTAATGCAAGATGTTACTAATTGGGAAACTTTATTTACATAATTACCTACCGAAGGACATCTTTGATATCTAAGTATGAATTCTGATAATATATTAACATCATAGTTGGGAACATATTTTTAAATATGTAAAGAATTGTTTATTAATTTAGATTAAATTATCATAAGGGCGGTTATAAAGTGATAAAAGCAGAAACAGACATTTTTATCCTGAAAAAGATTATTTTGCAATATAATTTTTACCTCCAGGAGAAATATGAAAACGAATTGACAGTTACAACTTATTTTGTATTTTAAATAATAAAAGACAGTTTGATACTGTGAAAGGAATCCTATCCTAGTAGATATAAATGATTACTATTCAGAGAGGCTTATTCTTTTTTATTTACAAACCAATTAACAGAATAGGCTCTGAGTTCAAATCCTACTTCTGCCTTTTCCTCATTGTGGAATGCTTGGCAAATGTCTTAAAATCTCTATGCCTCAATTCTCCCATTTTTATTGAGGAGAATAAAGCATATGCCTCAGAGGGATATTTGAGTGTAATTAAACGAGGTAATCCATTAAAAAGCACTTAGAAAAATAGCGCACAGCCAGCACTCAGAGTCTATTATCATCTCATTTTATAAATAAGGATGTTGAGGCTCAGAGAGCGTAGATAACCCAAAGGAGCAGATTTTCAGAGAACAGAGCCAGAATATGCACTGAGGCAGATATGCATCAGAGCCTCACACTAATCGCAAAATACACAGCTTTTTGTTCATTGATTCAAGAAAACTATGTATTTCCCTACCTGGTTTTGCTCAGTGGGTAGAGTGTTGACCTGCAGACCAAAGGTTCCCAGGTTCAATTCCAGTCAAGGGTACATGCTCAGGTTGCAGGATTGATCCCCAGTAGGGGGCGTGCAGGAGACAGCCCATCAATGATTCTCTCTCATCATTGATGTTTCCAACTCTTGCTCCCTTTCCTCTCTGAAATCAATAAAAAATATATTTTTAAAAATATGTATTATATGTCCATTAAATAATCACAATCTGAAACACATTTAATCCATAGTAAGTTGTGCTCCCACCCTTTTTTTCTTCAAATATATTGTTTTCCACATGTCCTGGAGTTTTTAATTTTAAACATAATACTATCTCTTTTCAAATCCTTTGAAAAAGCTACTATATTTTTAGCCACTTGTATCCGACTATTCAATTTAAAATCTTAAAGCACACCTGTCGCTTTACAGGTACATCCAGAGCCTGATGGATTTGGTGGAATTCCATGAGAAGAGCCCAGAAGACCAGAAAGCATTAGCAGAGTAAGTCCTCTGCCTTAGAATAAGTGTCTAAAACTTGGACTATTTCCAGACATACTCCTCTAATAAGTGATATGTGCACTATAATTTAAAAAATATAAGTGGCAGAACCTTCCTTGAACTTTCACTAAATATAAATGTGTTTTGCCTTAGATTTGTAGATGCTCTCATCAAAGTTCGAAATAGACACCATAATGTAGTTCCTACAATGGCACAAGGAATCATAGAATATAAAGATGGCTATGCCTTTGACCCAGTCACCAATCAAAATCTTCAGTATTTCTTGGATCGATTTTACATGAACCGCATTTCTACCCGGATGCTAATGAACCAACACAGTAAGTTCATCACAATCATGATACACAGAGATGAGGGTAGACGATAAGCCATACTCTAACTTGATATTTTAGTATTTGGTGGGTCTCATTCTTTTTCAGTGGTGTTCTAATCATGATTGTCCTGGTTTTTATATAATGTTTTTTTGTATTTATTTTTCAACAGTTCTTTTATTTAGTGACTCGGAGTCAGGAAACCCAACCCACATTGGAAGCATTGATCCAAACTGTGATGTAGTAGCAGTGATTGAAGGTAATTTCTAGATTTCTTCATTTCCTTTATTGCAAATATACACTCAGTGATTGACATATGGTTGAGGTAGCTTTTATGAATGAATTTATATTCAGAGTTTACCCTTTATATTCTTATAAGTACTGTCATGGAGGCCATTTGCTTTTGCAAGTCAGGGGTTTAAACACTCATTTACAGTACTATAAAACAATCCAAATAGTAGTGGTTAATGTATATGTTGCATTTGATCTCTGACATGTGCATATTCCTGTTGTTATAGCTATACCTTAAACAATGTCATAATTCTTTCTTTAATAAAATACTAACACTGCACTCTAATAGATATTTTATGTTAAGGGTAGTGTACACAATGAAGATCACTTGACAGTTGTACTTGGCAGAAATTCATTTCAACATTGTGAAAAAAAACCTTCTATTCCAGATGCCTATGAGAGTGCAAAGATGCTTTGTGACCAGTATTATTTAACATCTCCTGAATTAAAACTCACACAAGTGAACGGTAAGCTATAAATAAAATATACTTTAATCTATGGAAAATTCAGGGTTCTCCCAGTATGAGTAATACTGCAAATACAGAGCAATATTTGTGTTCCATTTTCCCCTTCCGAACATGCCTAGAGATTGTACACTTCTTTTTTTGAAGCTAAGGTTCTCTTTCAGTCAACTGGAAAGTTCCCATTGAGCACATTTAGTTGCTACTAATAATGCATAAAGAAGAATAGTTTGAACCAACAGTTTGGAATGTTGAGTGAGATAGGAGACTAGATCTGGGAGGCAGCACTAGGTAGTGGAGGTACATCCCTCATAATGGGGCTAAGATTACCCATAAGGTCTGGAGACCGAAATAATTGAAATTGCATTGTAGGAAACAGGCCAGGAACAGAAGGACAAATACTGCATGATTCTACTTACGTGAAATATTTAAAATATCTCAAACCCAGAGAAGCAGAGAGTAGAATGATGGTTGCTAAAGGCTGAGGGAAGGGAGAAATAGGGAGTCACTATTTAATGGGTATAACATTTCAGTTATGCAAGATGAATAACTTCTAGAAATCTGCTGTACAATGCCTTGCTTATAGTTAACAATACTATACTGTATACCTAAATACTGAAGAAGGTATCTCTCATGTTAAATGTTCTTAGCAAAAGATTTTTCAATTGCACTTTAAGTATATACCAGTTTTGGAAGCAGAGCACACCTTATTTAGCAGCTTCAACGGCAGGGAGTATCTGAACAGATAATAGTCTTCCCACATTGACTGAAACGATTGCAGGAGGAATGCAAGGCATTATTTTTATCCTACTCCATAGTTGCTTCTCAAAACATCACAGTAACATTCTCATTTCAATTCAAAGTAGACATCTTTTCCAAGTAATAATTACATTTGTTGGTGATGAAAGTGAAAATCAAGTTGCTCCAATTCTGGGTAGCTTAACTCATGGGTTGGGGTTATGCAAATGTAATTGATTGCTAAACTAAAAATAAAAGTACAAATAAAGGTTGAAAAATGTCTCTAAGCATTAACAGCATTGTTGCATAACTTGTAGATAAATTGCTTGAACTGTTTGATAAAAATAAAGGGTCAGACCTTGTGTTTTCGAATTCAAACTTTGCCAAGGCCTGGCAAACCAAAGAATAATTCCTCTATTTTTCTTTTCAAACAGTAGAATGAGGTTTTTGTTTCTCTGTTTTCTTTAGTCTCTTGGTGAAATTTGAGCATAGTGAGTCTATAAGAATTAATGTTTGGATGATAAAAATTGAGAATAATCAGAAGTGTTATTTTCCCCTGCATCATTGAGTAACTTTCCAAGTGTTATTTCAATTTAAAAATATGAAAATTATAGCTGGCATACATTTTGATGTTATACTATAGACAAATTAATTTTTTTCTTCCTTACAATGCAAATAACTTTAATTCTAAAATTGTCCAGTACAAAATTTTTGAAAATAGAAACAAATAAGCCATATAATCTAATTTATAGCATCCTTGCTGAAGACTTCATCTGCTTTATACATTTGTAGAGAAATGCAAAACTTAGTTTTAGAGCTCTAGTTAGCAACAGTAGTAGCATATTGAAAGGAAGCCAGTTGTGTTTTCAGTTTAAGAAGGAAGGTTCTAGGGTAGGATTCTGGAGTGAGGAGGATTGGGGGGGGGGGTATTCCAATCCTGTTTTAAGTCTGGAATATTAGTTAAATAGATATGAATGTTTATTTTAATGAAGTATTTGTTTACCAATTCCAATGGGTTTAATTTTCTTCTAGGAAAATCTCCAGGCCAACCGATTCACATTGTGTACGTTCCTTCTCACCTGCACCATATGCTTTTTGAGCTGTTCAAGGTATGACTTCACAATGAATGCAATTTTGTTTTGTTTTTTAAATTTCCTGTTTTCTTTTTGATGCCCTTTATCCTTTCTGACTAAATAGGAGCATCACTATCTTCTCCCAAGCAAGCTTCTGTGCTCCTCACAGGAGGCTACAATTAATGCTTGAAAGGGTACACAGAGTTCCTTGTAGTATCAGCATGTATTTGAGAATGTACAATATGATTCATGAGGTCTCAAGGGCTGCCTAGTCCCATTATTTGTTCAGGTGCCCAACAAAGCACTATTCATCCGTGCATTCATTAAGAAAGTTCACGGGGTGAACGCGTTCTTCATGGAATGAGGCCTTGTTCCTCCCACTCCCACAGGCTGGTCCATTTCCAAATCCTCAGGTTCAGGTTCAGAATTACTGTACGTGGCAGGATCTCAATCTGAGTCAGAGGACAGTCCTTGTCCATTCCTTCAGTGATCTACTTTAACATGCATATGAATCACCTGGTGGTTTTGTTAAAATGCCAATACTGATTCAGGGGGTCTGGGCCGGGGCCTGAGATTCTGAATTTCAGGTAACACATGTTGCTGCAGGTCCACAGTCCAAGTTTCATGGCAAGATGGGAGGGCAGTGCTTCTCAGTCTTCCCTGTGCTTTAGAATCACATGGAGGGCTTGTGAAAACACATCCTCTATCTGCCCCAGATAGAGATTTTTATTCTCTAAGTCTGAGAATCTGCATTTCTACCCAGCTTTCAGTACTTGCAAATGTTACTGATCTGGGGTAGCCAGGTGCGGGAATCAAATCCTGTCCTGGGTTCTAAGACCAAATACAGCTTGGTACTTAGACCAACAGATAGGTAACGCTTTGCCATGCTTCCAAGAGTTCTCTGGACTGCAGAGGAGGAAGTCCGAAAAACGTGAAATTTGCTTCTAATTCTGATATCACTCTTCCCAAAACATTCTATTTCCTAACTTATGTTAGTAATGTTAGTACAATGAGGCAATGATTACACTGCAAACATCTGGCCTATTTTATTTCACATTAGCTAATGATTAGAACGTCATATTAAATGGAAACCAGATAACAGATAATTTTCTGGAAAGTTAGAGAGGAAAATGGGTGAAATAAACCCAAACTATATCTGAATGAGAATCATCCAGTTGTCTGAAAACTTGAGATTCTTCTCTGTGAAAGGACAAAAGATACTTTTTTGTTTGATTTACTTTTAAATTGAATGATCCAACTCAGATTTATTTTGCCATCATTGGTAAAAGTTAAGATGATAATCACATGTAAATGGACATTTAATTTAGAATTATTTACTATCCTTTTAAATAGTAACAAGTCTTTCCCCAGCAAATTTTATAAAAGCCAACAAGTTGATTCAGTGATTCACTGTTCCTTTGTGATGTAATAATCTTTGGTATTTGAATGTAAAATGTAATGGAAAGACAGAAAAGAGAGAACCAGGAAGTGGGTTATAAAAATCAATTTTACATTTAAATTAAGTTTAAAAATAAGCACTTGACAAGTAGCAGAACTATTTTCCTATCAGACATTGCTCCCAGGAACTATATTACATGGTCAATGCGTATTTTTCATTTTACACCCTACATGGCACACTCATAAATAGCTATTTATAGAGCTATTATAACTACCGTGTTTCCCCGAAAATAAGACATCCTCCTAAAATAAGATCAAGCGCATGGAAAGATAAGACATCCCTGAAAATAAGACCTAGTGCAACTTTGGGAGAAAAAATTAATATAAGACACCGTCTTATTTTCGGGGAAACAGGGTACTAACTTAAAAGAAATGGGAACTTTGAATTACCCTCTGTGCTGCTTTTATTTTAAACATAAAAAAAAAGGTATTTACTGTCCCTCATTATTCTGCCATTCAATTCCTTATGCTTTTTGTTTTTGTTTTTGTTTTTAGAATGCGATGAGGGCAACAGTGGAACACCAGGAAAACTTGCCTTCCCTCACACCAGTTGAGGTGATTGTTGTCTTGGGAAAAGAAGACCTTACAATTAAGGTAACCATCCTCTATTTATCTTTTGAGTATCTCTTGAGAGAAATTAAAAAGTCACCAAAAAATGAAGCTCTCTGCTTTGAGCAATAGATCAAAGCCATATACCAGGTGACTTTCCAATGAAGGAAGGACATGGTTATAGAGACGAATGCACATTGTTTGGAACGTGTGGCTCTGATGGCTTGTTTGTTTGTTTGTTTAAGATTTCAGACCGAGGAGGCGGTGTTCCCCTGAGAATCACTGACCGCCTCTTTAGTTATACCTACTCCACTGCCCCAACGCCCGTGATGGATAACTCCCGGAATGCTCCCTTGGTAAGAACAATTATATGGCAAAGTTTATCCCAGCCACCTAATCCTAAAGGGAGAGCCAAGATTACAGGAAAGTGTTTAGGCAAATTCATCAGTTTATATTTGGCATGGGAGATAAGAGGAAGAAGGATAAAGCAAGCGAAACATGGTGAAACAATGCAAGGGGACTCTGATTGGAAGCAGGAGATACTTATCTAGATTCTGGGACATGAGTGTCAAGCTCAGTAGTAACACCTTCCCACATTTTGTACTTCAATGATCATGCCTGCCTCTTTACCAATAACCAATCTTCCCTCTCCAGGCCGGTTTTGGTTATGGCTTGCCGATTTCTCGTCTCTATGCCAAGTACTTTCAAGGGGACCTGAATCTCTACTCTTTATCAGGATATGGAACAGATGCTATCATCTACTTAAAGGTATACTTTAAATTCAATAGGAAAAAAAATTGTTTTTAAAAAATGGCTTCGTGTACAGCTCTGACTGTAATCCACAGTGAAAATCCCAAACAGAGTTCATGACAATATTGACCAGAAGTGATTGTAGTTTCTGTTCGCTATGTGTAAATATGTTGTTTCATATTTAATATGGTAACTTGCCAAGAAGGAGGTAGAGCTAGGCTACGTGCCTCCAGTGAAGCAAAATTATTGCCCAAGAGGCCAGGCTTGTGTGACATTTTTAAGGCAACTCCTTTGGCAGCTGTGAGAAGAGCTGTGTTTTTGTTTTCCCTCATTTTGTGAGAGAAAAAAGATGTGAATAATGTTCCAGCCTCAAAATGAACTGATATTGAATTATTCAGGATCTTACGCTGACATTAGAAATTCAGGGAAAGACAGCTGACTGCTCACAAGTTGTCAGAAAGATAGCTGGCATTTTCTGTTTAAAATTTAAAACTTGGTAAATGTTTTCCTATTGCTGATAAAGCCTCAATTTATTTGTTAAGGTCACTGTCCTATTCTGTTCCTCATTTGCCAACTATTTCAACTGAAAATATATTTACAGATATTAGTAACAAAACATTAAGCTTCTAGGCTCCCGCTCTGTGCCAGGGAATTATTTGCCAAGCGATCTTTGACCATCTGAAATAACTAATGCATTCCTTTAAAAAAAAACACACACACACACACACACACACACACACACACACACACACACACACACAAAATCACATATTATCTCCAGAATTTTTTTTTTCTAAAATAGTTTATTGATTTTTTTTTTTTAAGAGAAGGGAAAGAGAGAAACATTGACATAAGAGCAAACCATTGATTGGCTGCCTCCTGCACACTCCCGATCAGGGATTGACATGTAACTCAGCCATGTGCCCTGACCGGGAATTGAACCATGACCTCTTGGTGCACTGGATGATGCCCAGCCAACTGAGTCACACTGCCTAGGACACATTCATTTCTTAAATAAGCCAAAGTCTTCATAGTGTTGGGAAAGATTAAGAGCTCATAGGTTTATGGTGTCAGATTAGAATGCTTTGTCACAGATGAAATGGTTTTCCTTGGACAGGATAGCTTTGCTATTCAACTCTATCATATTGGTAACATCCAAACAAAGGCTATGTGGGAATATTGAACACAATTTCTATTCCCTAACTTAAATTGTACACATTCTATTTCATCCCCTATAGGGTAAAGATATTATTTCATTTTAATTCTCTTTTATACAGTACCTGACATACTATGGGCTCTGTTATGCTCTTATTGCTAAATTAATTAAAGGAATATACTTGATGGTTGACAACTTACCTCTGACTTTATTTTGAATAATCAAGTACAATTGAGGCCTTGTATAGTTCCTTTGGTTTGACTTGTTTCTTCATTCTCTTTCCAGGCTCTGTCTTCTGAGTCTGTAGAGAAACTCCCGGTCTTTAACAAATCAGCCTTTAAGCATTATCAGATGAACCCTGAGGCTGACGACTGGTGCATCCCAAGCAAGGAACCAAAGAACCTGGCGAAGGAGAAAGTGGCCGTGTGAAGAGGGACGCTCGGGGCACTTTAAGGGATCAAAGTGGGTCTGTGCCAGTGCTGCTTTCTGAATGTTTGCATGCGGACTCCTCCCCCTCAAACAACAGCAACAAAAACTCCTTGACCAGGACACAGGAGGGGAAGAGGAACAAAGCTCATTCCTGTGACCCAGGAGAGCACAGGGCAGGACGACAGGAGTTAACACACGTGGCCAGCTCTTTATTCTTCAAATGGAGAATAATGCTTGGGTTTATATCAAAACCCAAATAAGATAAAAGCCTCAACTTGTCATCGCTTCATCAGCAGGAATGGGAAAAGAAGTGCAGTGAAGATATAGACTGTCAGTTTCAATAGATTGATGTTTTAAGAGTTTAGGCCTCTGGTTAATGTCATAAGATATTAGTATTTATTGAACATCAAGTGTCAATTATAATAGCATTTTCCTACTATTCAAAGGAGGGGGGCTTGGTTTATACTCTATGACTAGAAATGTATGTGAATGTACATTTTGTATATAACGACATGCTCTAGGGAGGAAAAACTGGTGACTAAAATAACATTCACTTTGACGAATAAGTCAAACGTTTTATTAAAAGCTGCAGCTAAGGTCTTGAGCCTCTGTAAAAAACGCAGAAGATAGCCTTTTTTGGTAAATACAGGGCCTTTATTATGCTGCTTCCCCTGTTCACACCTCACAAAGTAAGTGAGCTTATGTCCAGGTACCTCCTCTTGGGCGAATTTTAAAATATGCACTGAATTCAGAATGTTGGCGGTTGGAGGGGGAGAAGAGTTGCTAAAGTGAGAGCAAAACTCTCTCTTGTTGGTAAATAACACGGCAGATTGGAAAACTGACGTTAGGGAAGGAAATCATGCATCAGAACCTAATTTAGAGAGAAGGCCTGTTCTCTACCCTGCAGTGGTGGCAATCCAAAGACATCCATTTTCTAGGTTCAAAAAGATGTGTTTTTGTATGTATTCAATTATACTCTACACTCCAGAATGTACATGTGTTAAAAAATTCCTAAGTATCAATAACATTACATTGTAAATACTTCTTGGAATGTTTTTAACAAGGAGCCTGGGAAGAAAAGGTTTTCATGCCAGAATATTTTCGTTTCAAATTAATGGCATTGAGAGCTAATGAATGACAGCTGCAATGCGTATAGTACTTTGGGGGAGTTCAGGTATAATATGCAGGTTGACAGGGCACTCCTTAGAGAAGGAGTGAAAAAAAAAAAGGAAGGAAAAAAGGAAGGAAGGAAGGAAGGAAGGAAGGAAGGAAGGAAGGAAGGAAGGAAGGAAGGAAGGAAGGAAGGAAAGAAGGAAGGAAGGAAGGAAGGAAGAAAGGAAGAGAAGGAAGGGCATTTTGCTATATCCCCCACAAATTACTTCAAGAAATGGTTCATATTGGCAAAAGAGATGAATTGGTGTCTTTAAAAACAGTATGACTTTTTTTAAATGGCTCTCAATTTTGCAAGATACCAGTTTTTAATGAGATAATAAACTCATGTTTTTCAAATTGAAGTTTAAACTGGGATATAGAAAAAACTAGACTTTTCTGCATTGGAAAATAATCAGTACTATCTATGAGTTAAACTTAACATTTGTACTTAATTTTGTCATGGCCTAGTGCTGCAGTGCTTCTGATAGAAGCCATAGAAGCATCAAACCATTTGTTTCAAATTTCAAATTTCATCATCAGAAGTCCTAGATAGGGATTTTCCTTGATGATGGGATTCTGGCTCATACATTTGTTACTTACACAAAACTACTTGCAATAAATTATTTGAATATTCACTTTTTACTGAAATTTAAACATTTTTGCATGTAAATACTTATGTTTACCAAAGATTTAAAGCAGTTGATTAATTAACCCAAACACCATGAACTATTATTAAAACACTAGAGAAAAAGAAATGTTGGTATCTCGATGACATCAACTGTGTAAATGGAGATCTATAAAATAGAAATAGACTATATTGGTATTTGTAAAATTTACAGATGAGCTTTAGAATTCTACTGAATAGATACTGATGCTCAGACCCACTTAAATTATTAATGTATAAATTGTATTTTTGCCTTTAAGTTATGTACAGAGAAATGTGATAATTTTTATAATAAATATTTTTATTATAAGAGTAGACATCTTTTCAAGTTCTTTTCTTAAATTAATGGCAACGTTCTAAGAAGAATTTGAAGCAACGGTTTTTCCTTACTTTACATTCAATGCTAATTTATCTACATATTGAGTATAGCCTTTAAAAAGTATTGAAAGCAATTTAAAAATCCTAATTTTTAAACAAAATATAAGTACTTTATAACAGTCCAGAAATTTCTAATTGTTCTTTGCTTTCTTGTATATGCCCCAATAACACATAGTACAATGTATATTTATATACATGGATTTATTCAATAATCATTTTTGCGATGCACATATTCTCTATATATTTTTGGTAAACTTACTTTAAACTGTATTTACATAACAAATACAGTAGAGCACTAAAATAATCACTTAGATAATCTAGGGCCCAATAACTTCTAGATTAAATATCTGAATAATACATATTCTCCTACTATACTTTCAGGTATTGCACTTACACTTAAGTGTGTACCAACAGCGCAAATGTAAGGTAGCAATAGGATACAAATTACTAAATTAAGTGGTGGCACGTTTTATTTTTGCTATTTTCACACTGTCACTAATTTAACCCTACTCTATCTTAGACAATATCCTTTGCCCACCTCCATAATGCCCCTATTGGTAAAATTTTGCAAATAAAAAAAGTGGGGTGGTGGGGAGGGGAGGGCGAGGTAGAAAGAAAAATGATGGGAAGGAAGGAAGAAGGGAGAGTTGGAAGAAGGGGAAATTAGAATAAAATAAAAGTAGTGAAATGAATTTGCCATAATTAAACTATAAAACCTTGTCAGCATAATCATTATTTGAATAAAAAATTCCATCAACCAAAATATTAAACCCTAAAGAAACTACACTGAAGATCTTCACTGAGGACACTCAACTTACTCCAGCTTGTCTAAAGGACATATGCATACACACGGGCAAGCCTGTACACACACAGGGAGTTTAATTGTGAATTTCCTTGAATTAAGCTGTGTAGGAGGTATGGAATTTGTGCACTCCATAGATTCAGAATCTGCATCCACATTTGCATAAAAACTAGAAGACATCAAGTCCTATAATCCTCCATTTATACACACCTATCTTTCTAACACAGTTAATGCGTGTACCCCCAAAACTACTAATTTTCAAGTCCAACAAAGTGGGCTGAATCAGAATTATCCTCATACTGCTTCTCCTAAATTCCAAATCTAGTGAAAAATGGTAGAAGTGTTTGATCTTAGCTACTATGGCACGTGCAAAGACTAAGAGAGAGAAATCATTGTGAACTAGTAGCTTATTTGAACATTGACCTTGATAATTTCTTTAAATATTCTCCTACTATACTTTCAGGTATTGCACGTTACACTTATGTGTGTACCAACAATGGAACTGAACCTGGTCTTTCCTGGTGAAAGAATTGAAGGACTTCCATAATTCCATAGGTGCTTATGTAAAAAGGTCCTAGGCCCCCAACTATGAATTTTAGAGCATAGATATGCTGTCCCTATTAGCATTCTATCCATATATATCTTTTTTGGATGTTTCATTTTTTACCTATATCACAGTTACTTAGGCACTCAATAAACATTCCTTGGGTAAATACCTGAATAAATACATAAATAAAATTTTGCCTATCAAACAATATCCTTACATTTAAGGGCAGATTAGAATTCTGTGTTAAAAAGATGCACATCAAATTTTATAATATTTTTTGCTTTAAATGGTAAGGAGTCTTACAACATTATAGAAACTCTGGAATACTTTTCTAAACCAACTTTTTCCAAAAGTTAAGTTTCAATTGATTTTTTTATATATATATATATATATATGTTGATCTCCATTGATGGCCTTTGGTCACTGGAAATGATCACATATTTCAAAAGAAATTAAATAATGGATAAAAATTATTAGTAGTAAAGAAATTTCTTGAGCAAATTGGTTGGTTTTTCAGGTTTTATCACTATTCTTCTCACTGTTCACCTTGGACTATTACTATCCATAGTTGATGGTGGCTTAATGGAAATGAGCAACTGTCTTTTAATTAGATTTTTCAGTTCCTATCCAACTGCAAATAAACATTAAAATCCACTCAAAATCAACAGAAATATCAACAACTTTGAAAACATGTTGACTGCCAAAACCGGTTTGGTTCAGTGGATAGAGCGTCAGCCTGCAGACTGAAAGGTCCCAGGTTCATTTCCGGTCAAGGGCATGTACCTTGGTTGCTGGCACATCCCCAGTAGGGGGTGTGCAAAAGGCAGCTGATTGATGATTCTCTCTCATCAGTGTTTCTAACTCTCTATTCTTCTCTCTTCCTCTCTAAAAAATCAATAAAATATATTTTTTTAAAAAGAAAACATGTTGACTTTATTAAATGACGTGAAAATGATGTAAGTTCTTAGTGATAAATCCAGCAATAAAATAATAGTTTGTCAATGAATTATCAGGCATCACTCTCATGTTTACTGCTACCATTTGACATAATGAAAATAACACAAGACTGGTTATCAAATAATGCAATATAAGTAGGAATTGTTTATTAGCATACAATTTTCCATAAGTTTTATTAATCAGCTTAACAATAACCCACAACCCTTCGGACCATCTAATTTTCCATAAATTAAAAGGATGCTTTAATATCTAAGACAAATAGCCTATTGAATGGCAAAGTCTTGAGGTTTTTTTTTAATCAATTCCATTAAAATTATGCCCTTTAATGTTTTTCTAGCCCAAAAATATACTTCAGTATCTCATAGTGTTTCCCTTAACTCAGACTTTTAAACACATTTTTAAGGTTAACAACATGTTTTTGAAATTATATGTTTGTGATCTAAAAATAAAATAAAATTTAAAAACAAAAGGAAAAACTGTATTCCAGGTTCTTAAGCAAT